TCAAACAGATGTAATTTACCTTAAATAATTGTATCTCAATCTCTAAATTGAACTTTAATCACATACAGGAGGCTCTTGCAGGGTCTAGCAAGCTATTAACATAGCAGGGGATAAGAAAATCTTAATTAAACAGAACTTGCAATAAAGAAAGCCTAAATAGGGCTCTCTTTACAGGAAGTGTTTATGGAAGGCTGTGCAAGTCACATGCAGGGAGGTGTGACTAGGGTTCATAAACAAAGGGATTTAATTCCTAAATGGCAGAGGATTGAGCAGTGAGGCTGCAGGGGCATGTCCTATACACCAAAACTGCTTCATTAAGCTAAAGTTGTTCAGGTGACTATAGTGTCCCTTTAATTATCGATAAAATTAAGCTTATATTTATTGTTATCTCATAGAAATGCAATACATTCATACAATACAAACACACACACAGACTGCTGAATACACACAGACAGACAATGACGGGTGCAGTGTGTGTGTGTGTGAGGGGTGTAATGTGTGTGTGTGGGGGGGTGCAGTGTTTATGTGTGTGTGAGGAGTTCTGTGTGTGTGTGTGTATGAGGGGTGCTCTGGGTGTTGGTGTGTGTGCAAGGTGCTGTGTGTGAAGGGTGCTGTATGTGAGTGAGGTGTGGTGCGTGAGTGTGGCCGGCCGCCTCCTTCCTGCTTACGGTGGCCGGCTCCATGCTGACTTGACCGGCTGCCTCCATCCTGCTCACTGCCACTGGCTCCATTCTGCTCACTGCGGCCGGTTCCATGCTGCCTTGGCCGGCCGCCTCCATCCTGCTCACTGCGGCCGGCTCCATGCTGCCTCAGCCAAGCCGGCCACCTCGATCCTCCTCAGGGCGGGCGGCTCCATGCTGCCTCAGCCGAGCCGGCCGCCTCGATCCTCCTCAGGATGGCCAGCTTCAATATTCTCTGCGTGTCAGGATTACCAATTGATCCAGCACACAGAAATGTATCACACCTAGGACTAAAAGGTAACGTGTTACCGGGCCTTAGAATGGCTGGACTTTACGTGCCAAAGAATAGTCAGGGACACAGAATAGGACAAAACGATGAGGGAAAGCCAAAAGTCAAGGATACCAGAAATCAGGGAAGTAAGAACAAAGCCAAAGACAAATCCGAAAATATCAAAAACAGGAACGCACTCTTGTATCATCAGGCAGAAACCACGACAGGGCACTGAGAGAATGTAAAACTTAGTTTAAATAACCCTCCTGTTATTCCGATTGGTTGAGACCGACCATTGACCCCAAAACGTGCGGGTGCATGACATCACACGCACGCCGACATCATCGTGGGCGGTCACGGGGCTAGAAAGTGGCATAGATCCGCATCGGTCGGCGTCCCTAGACATGATTGGTTTATCAGGTATCCGGGCGCGTGGTTGCAGATGGGCACAACTATTCCTGTCAGGACGGTAAATACCATCATAAACATTTCTATGTGCGGATGAATCCGTTACACTGCGGAGCTAGGAAATCCCAGGTGCCAGGGCGCAATTTCTAGTCCCCATGGCGACCTTGCGCCTGGGAGTTGTCGAGCCTTATTCTATGACTGCATGCTATTGCAATGTTCGAGACCTGCATGTTTTTTTTATATTGATCTCGGATTCATCTCTACATATTCTGAAAAATCAATAAACTGATTAAAAAAAAAAAAAAAGAGATTTCTTACATTAGTGAATAACTGTTTTCTGAACATGCTTAGCCATGCCGCTGCATACACTGCCAAGGACCTACAGGGAGCTGCTGAAATCAAGGTTAGGTAAGGTGAGCAGCTGAAATCAAGAAGCAACCTACTTAGCTGCTGAATTTAAGGTTAACAAACAACAGAGAGATAGCAAACTTAAGTTTCCGTAACAAAGGCAAGCTGCTAAATCCAAGGCTAATTAACTATAGATGATACTGAATTCATCGTTAACTAACTGCACCAAGCTACAGAAATCAAGATAAACTAACTATGAAGTTCTACAGAATTCAAGGTTAACCAAGTTTAGATAGCTGTTGAATTTGATGCTTAGTAACCAAGGCGAGCTGCTGAATATCAAACTATAGCAAGCTGCGGATACATACGTCTGGAGACTAATTCGATAGATCTACTGAATTCAAGGTCATCCAACTACAGAGAACTGCTTAACTCAAGGTTAGGACTATAGAGAGATGCTGAATCCAAGGTTAAGTATCGACATCAAGCAGCTCAGTACAAGATTCTGTGAAGAGGATTGGAGCTGGGTTTTAAAAACTGTTGAATTCAATGGAAAAAAAAAATAGAGAAAGGTACCGAATTCAATATTAAGACTACTCAAGGTTAATACTACAGACAGCTGTAGATTAAGACTATGGGAGCAGCTGAATTGTAAGACAATTAATGATAGTGTGCAGTTGAATTCAAGACTAGGACGAGCCCGTGGACTCAAGGTTAAGACTATGTAGCGCTGCCAAGTTCCTCTGGAGTTTAATGTAAATTCGATGTAAAGCTCCGAGTTCTATTGCTGGTTTGGTCACTGCAGTGAGTTGCAGAATTTATCTGCTAAATCTCAGAATTTTGCCCGTCTGCTCATTCTGTCCTTGTCAATCTCACAGCAGCTGTCCCCGCTCTGTCACCCTGCTTAACCCCCGGTGGAAGAAGTTGAAAGAAAACTATTTCTGTGGCATTTCTCTCTCGGAGCGAGATATTTAACCTTGATTTACTACACATGGCGGTAGTTTATTGCAAGCTGCAAGTCATGAGATTGGCTACACAAATCTACAATGCAATTCTATTCCAAACCCTGTAACAGTGTATCCTGCACTCACAGTGAGGGAGGTGCACATGGTAGCAGGTGATTACCTTGTGTACATTTAAAAATGCCTCCTGATCTCCTTCTCTTGACTTAAAGGAACATTACGCTCATACAAACTCAAACACCTTAACCCCTTAAGGACCAAACTTCTGGAATAAAAGGGAATCATGACATGTCGAACATGTCATGTGTCCTTAAGGGGTTAAGTGGGCACTCGAGAGACAGAATGACCAGATTCACCATGTTTTCTGGGACACATGATATATACATATTGATGGGCAGCACATGAAAAGGGTTGCCCTGTAGTATGTAGAATTCAGAAGAAGGTGTATAAGATTAAGCGATTAAGCAATGTAATGTCCTGCACATTACGCATTATACATAGTGCAGGGCAACCTTTTTCATAAATATGACAAAACTTTATACGTCCCTAAAAACATGGTGACTATGGTAATCCTGATTAGAGCTCGCCTACAATATCCATGCATGCTCCTCCTCCCCCCCGCCCCTGTTTTATACCAAACCATTTAGCAAAAGTTTTTCAGGGTCCAGAGAATGCCCTCAGATCGCCAACCAGTCCATGTCAATTACATCCAAGCTGGACAGTACTGGTTGGTTGAGAGTGCCAGGCCAACTCGCTTCCATCATGGGAATTCCATCCTACCCGTAACCCTATATCCCAATACATAAAAAAACACAATAGCATAAATTCCCAAAACAACAGCCGAAGCAAACAGGCTATCACAACTCTCAGAACTTTACATTATCAATGGGCCAGCTTGTTTATTGCTGCTGTAGTCATACATGCGCAGCATCATTGGAACAGCGACCAATTTAACACAGTAACGTTTATAATGTGCCTGTATTACATTTTAATTTATATAGTGACTGATATAGGGTGATCTATACTAACAAAATAAATAAGTATATATATATAAAAAAAACAACAGCTCCCCCCCCCACACACACACTGTGTCATGTATTTTATAAAACAGATACAATTTGATAAAAAAAAACATCCCAATATGAAGGCTGATTTATAGCTTTTCATTGCCATAAAATAAATTAGGAGAATGTCGTGTATGTTCCCATGTCTGCAGACTGGCTGCTTATTTTCTTATCCGAGAATCCTTCTGGAAAATGCACATTGCAAAGTGTTATCACAACCATTGCTGCAATACAAAATTATTTTTATTTTAGAAGTATCAGTGGTTAAATGGGTCATTCCTTTACACAGGTAACTAATGGGCTGTACATTCGGTGCTATATATTTCTGTAAGAGCTGTACACATACAATACAATTAATAGGCTATTAATCACAATATGTACATATATTTTTATGCATTCTTTAGTGGTATATTTCAATAAAAGTCTTGTCGTATACATTACCCATAGGTGTCCTTGGGATGAGGTGAGAATCTCCCTATATTTTTTATACAAGCACTTTACCTAATATTTATATAATTCAGGCACTATTGTACACTTGCATCTCCCATGATCCAAATACTGACAATTCTTTGAACCATAAACACACTTACTGGCACTCTATCTGGTTTATATGCACATACTGGATGGCACTGGATTGAAAATCAAGTTGCATAATTTAGGGCTTATTCTCTGAATCTCATATAGTCACAGATTGGCGATTTAGACTAAAAGGGGGTTTATTTATTAAATTTAGAATTTAAACAAATTAAATCCAAACTGCAAAATGTAGTCTAAAATAGCCAGACTATGAGTAGAGCTGATTTGAATCATATTTCCAGCGCAGATTTTTTTTGTCTAACACCGCCACTTGATTTTAATTTGATGCAATGTGGAATTTAGCAAATGGCCCTTTAAATATTGAAATTTTAATTCAAAATTTTAATTCACTACAAAATCAGTATTTAGTAAATAAACCCCAAGAAATGTATCCAAGCACAACGTGGGGGTATTTTTGTTTATAAATTATTTTCACAGCAATGGAAGCATATTCTTAAAGTGGAGCAGTCACCATGGAAACCAGTGGAATCTTAGGAACATTCTATTGGATTCCAAGTGATTGCCCCACTGTTCTGTTAGAAACATTTTATTAACTTTCCCCTCCATGTGTCTTCATATCCAGATCCCTGAGCCAGCAATAAGTAAAGTCTCTGCCCAGCAGCTGCCAAGGCATTACACAATAGATTAGATAAGCCAGCATGGGACACTCTCCCTTTAAGAGTGAGGAAGAGGCGTGTCAGACACATGCCTCCTTAAAGCGGCCGCTGCTCCAGTAAAAAGTCATAGCCTCCCTGCTGATTGTGCTGCAATAAGGGGGCAACTCAGCCTGCAAGTCAGCCCCAAACCTCACCCCTTTCCTCCTGCCATGTACACCATCACCAGAGGACCCAGCAAGTTAACCACCCAGAGGAGAACAGGTAACACCCTATCTGTCTGTGTGTCTGTCTGCTGTGGGAGCCCCCAGAGATGTCCCCTCTCCATACTCAAAGTCCAGGAGATCTGCTTAATGCACCATAGGTGCCACTGCCTGAGCTGGCATTACAGGGGTTAACAGAGCTGGTGTACAGTCTGTGCTGGGATCCATGTCCTCCAGAGACTCCCCCACAGCACATACCTTTTTATAGAGATCTGTGCTCCCCACTCTCTCCTGGTACACCTGTCTCTTAAAGGTTAATGCACATCATGTCTCCTATACTGTGCAATGTTCTATAGCTTCCCATATGCTGCACAGTCCTCTGTCTCCAACCAGGGCTTTCTGTGCACAATACAAGTGACATTGCTCATACAATACAAATTGGTTTTTATGCGTGTGTTTTTTTTTTTGTTTGTTTTTTTTTTTTTTAGGTCCCAAGCAGCAGATTGATACAAAGTTGCAAGAGTTAAAAAGCAAACAGTTACTGATCTCCAACTCAGCCAGCACCTGCGAGCCACTTCCAAGGTCAGCCTGCCACAAACAATGTATCATTTTACCATGAAGGGTAGGGGGTGAGGGTCAGGATAGAGCTTAGTCTGCACCCCTATAGTGCAGATTTGGGGTGCTGCTGTACTGGTGGGGGGGCTGTGAAGCTGCAGTGTGACCTTGTGCAGAGGTTAGCATGTGCACAGTGTCATTGTCACATGATGGGTGCAGAGGGGTGTGTTCTGGCTGAGGGGGAGTGGCCATTGATCTGTGATCTGACTAATGATCTCAGGACTTTGTATAACTCGATACAAAGTATGTTTGTTCAAAATGTTTATTTATTATTATTATTTAAATCCAATCTTTGTCAGAACTACAACTCCCATGATGCTCTGTCAGCTGATGTCTACCTTTTTGGCCACTCCTATTCTAGAGCCAGTTCTGTGTAGATTGGGTATCTGACTTCATAGTAACTGTAGTGATTCTGGCTGAGTGTGATAGGAGTTGTCGGTACTCCCTTATACTGCGGCATGGGTACAGTGCTGGATGAAGCCGTGTACTTGGTGCTGTAACGCAGACTGCATTATTATTATTTTTATTTATTTTTTTAGTTGACCGTTGTTATCCCTTCCTCGCGGAAACAATTCCATTAATTTTGAGTCCGGAGCCAGGCTCTGAACAAACAGAACATTCATTCTGGCAGCGTGATCAGACGCAATTGTCAAACAGGACTATACATAGTGACTGTATACCCCGCAGGGTTCCAAACTGCTCTGTCATCTTTCTCCCTAGCGAATACCGAGGTCAAGGCTTTTTCTCTAAAGTGTGACTTGTTTGGAATTCAAAGGGAGTTTTAATGAATAAATTCCGATTATTTCGGTGTAATTTTGAAATTTACTGAAAATGTTTAACTTTAGACACTGGCCCTGTGAGTGGATCTGCCATTTAAATTGCCTGTCCAGTGGTGACGGTGGCCTTCATTGGTGTGATCATCACTTCCTGGTGGTACATCTCTGATCTAACACTCCATGTACTGACCCACCTTTACTGGGTGCAATAGGTTTAGAGCGGCCATTTTTTTTTTTTTTTTTTTAAATTGTGCCCATCTCCAGTTTAATGTAATTTAATGGATTTTTGGATCAACCGCAGAAACAGTTGTGAGACAGGCTGAACTTGATGAACACTTGTAATGCTCCTATAGTAGTTGTACTGTGACTCGATCCTATTTCCTATTCAATCTCTTTAAAAATCTGTCTTTGTTTAATTATCTTGCTTTACCCGAACATAAAGTAACTGGATTATTCTAGGTGTGTATTAAAATACCTGCCGTGCTGTATTAGAGGCCCCTCCAGTTAACAGGGACTCGCCAGCTTTCTGCACTTACTATTTTTATTATTATAGCGCCAGCGAAATTCCGTAGCGCTGTACAATGGTATGAACGTGCACAGAGTATGTCGGGACACATGGCCTTGGTTTGGCCCATTGTGTGTCGCTGTCATGTTTGTCAAAGGATGTGTGATGGGCTTTAATCTCAGCTGCCACTGACCCTGGCTGTCTCCTTGATCTAGTTCAAAAGCTGCCATGGTTTTTCCACTGGTGGTGAGCATCCTTGGTTCTGGCCGTGAGAAAAGGCCATTAATAACGGTTCAATCGTATCTGTGTGCCTCTCTCTCTCTTGCTGCATGCCTAGTGAGTCTAGCCGGGGGTGGCCAAAATGTAGCTCCTAGTTCTCTTAGGACTGCAACTCCTTTAATGCTTTGCCAGCCTTAATATTGTCAAGGGGTAATGGGACTCGTAAAAAAACTAAACAAAAAAAGAAACACACTAAAGGGATCTCATATCTCAACATTTCAAACTGAAAAAGGATGAACACTAATTTGATGAGTTGGGGTGCTGGCAGGGGTGATATGAGAAAATTTAGGTTACTTATAATGTAACTTGGAACAATGTATTTTAATTTCACAGACACATCACTGGGAGTATTATTAGAGCTCTGCTATACACTCAGACACACCAACAATATGGAGCTCCTAGCAACGAGGGATAGAGAAGGACAGGGAAATTTGAACCCAAAATAGGGACTGTCCCTCCTAAATAGGGACACCTGGGTGGTATGAGATCTATCTGTGGGCATTTTCTTTATTCCTTCATGTGCTGCATGTTCACAAGTCTTTATTAACTGACTGGGGATGATGGGTGCTATAGTTCTGCAACAACCAGAACATTAGAATGATGAAGCATCATCACTAGCCTCTCCTCCGTTAGATGCTCACCCAGTCTCCACTCGTTAAAAAAAAAAAATCATTAAAAACCCACTTCTTCATAAAAGTGTATCAAATAAATTATTAATAGCTCCCGACTGATTCCTCTTCTGCAACTGTCACTAGTCTAATACTATCCTTACCTTTTGTGTCATTTTACCCCACTCCCTCTAGCATGTAAGCTCATTGAGCAGGGCCCTCAACCCCTCTGTTCCTGTGTGTCTAACTTGTCTGGTTACAACAACATGTCTGTTCGTCCACCCATTGTAAAGCGCTGCAGAATTTGTTGGCGCTATATAAATAATAATAATGTAAACTGTAGTCATAAAACATCTGGGGATCTACCTTTTTTGGGCATCCCTGGTTTATATGATCCTTCCCCCAACCCCATCGTGTTAGATTTGAGAATGCTAAACCTCCTAGTATATCTAAATATATTGTATAATAAACCTGCCGGCAAATGTATTAACTTCATGAGACTATTCTCTAAACTTGACATTTTTATGGATTAATTAACCAGGAAATTACACATTTTATATTTTAAGCTGAGCTGGAGCGTTTTTCACTAGTCTCAGTTTAGTGAATATATCCCTCTGTCAAGATGTCCGTTTGTTGAGCTCATGGTTGATCCTGGATTAACCAGGTTACAGAGTAGCACTGACTGTCTGGAGATAAGATCAATAGAACTGTAGAGTCAATGAATGCACCTCGTGTAAACACTGACGATGCTGTGTATATCTTTCCATAACCAGTCTGATAAATGAGTTCTTCAACTTTTGTAATTACATTATTTAAGGCATGTATTCACCTCTTGGACAGGAGTGTTCCTGGAAGCACCCCTTGTCAAACTGAGGGGAGATATTTACTAAACTGTGATCTGACCAGGGATTTGCCTGTTTTTAGCCCAGATAGAACAAATATATGCCTAAAACTTGCAATTCCCAGTTTAGCAAATAAACTCGTTTGTGGATTTCTACCTCAAAACTATGAAGCGGTAAGAGGCATAACTAGAAACCACGGGGCCCCGGTGCGAAAATTGCCCTTGGGGCCCCCCTCACACATGTAGACAAATAGAGAGAGATATATATATTGAAGTGGAAATCAAATCAATTGATTATTCTTTGTGTATCTGCCCCTGACCAAATTAATGAAACAGTGCGTGCACGCTCCCTGAAGTAATTCACACCAGACACAAGTTTCAGGTAGTTGAATAACTTGAGGAATGTTTATTCAGAGGGGACGGCAAGTCCCTTTTTAAAGCAAAATTACATCATAAGCATTGTCAGAGATAACATGGAATAATACGGTATCAATTGGTTACGTGTTAAGTAGTTATCTTAGTGCTCTGCCTACTAGAGGTGATGTCACTGAGACCATGAGGGTCTCCCCCAGATCTCAGCGCCATCTTGTTACACGAGGTAGTTAGTCGAGGTTATAAGGAGGGAGGGGTTAGAAACTTCTAGCAGCCATTTTGTCTAAATATGCGTGAATAGCTTATCTACTGATTTCAGTGCAATGGGTAAACAGACATTTTACTAACTACAAAGTTATATGTGTATATATTCATATTTTATTTCCACAACAGTCCCCCCTTAAAATGGCTATTTACCATAACAACTGCAGCTGTCCCTTACTCATCCCTAGCTGCCTGCAGCTCATCTGTCTTAACGAGCATCGAACTCTTTACTCCGTGGGTAACCCGCAGCGGCTAGTCCACCACATCTCCACACGTGAGACTTGCCCGTAGAGACAGACGCTTTCCCTATGCTATCCCTACAGGAGTGCAGTTGCCTGTTTGAATTGGTGAGGCTGAAGGGGTGTGTGTGGTGCGTCATAGTCTAGTTCCGTAACATCCTGATGTAGGAAGGTAGGAGTTGCGTCATCTATAGTCTTACCCACTGCTTTCGTAGGTACCTTTTTGTATGCAAGGGAACACACAACAGATTAAGAACAGGAAGAAAATAAGTACTATATATATTTTTACAGACACACACTAAGACCAGTGGTGTACCTACCACAGTCACAGGGGCCGCAGCTGCGACCGTAGGCCACCTAGATGCCGCCTCCTATGACAGGGGGAACACTGAGGGGCGGCACCCTGCAGTGAGGGGCCCGGTCGCAGCCGCGACCCCTGCGACCGTGGTAGGTATGCCACTGGAACCAGTACTCCCAGAATAGGACCCTTATATGGAGAGGCTCTTTGAGATTGAAGTCAATGGTTAAACTGTTTCCAAATGTGTTCCGGATCCTTTCCTAACCAGTGTTCAAAGTTCACCAGAGTCTGTCTGTGGTGAGAGTGCAGCTCAGGCGGCAGCAAGTAAAAGCAACCCTTAGCCTTACAAACTATCAGATCAATGGTTTCCAAATAAAGGCATACCCAACTTTACAGCCTCCGTGTACGGGCTCTGTCCTGCTCTATTGTACAATGTGTACCTGGTGGACTTTATTTCATTGATGTAAAGGGCCGGGCCTAAGCTTAATAGCATGTGAAGTCTTCATACTAATTTTGCAGCATTGAGAAATTAGAATTCCCTTCCCATACATTCAGGTATAATCACTGCACTGTTCCTGTTTTGACCCTAGATTGGCATGTTCATGGCTGTTAAGTTGGCCCTGCCAAGATCTTCAGTTTGTTACAAATTGGGGGGAGAAAGAATGGCAAAATCTTCCTTGGCTGCTAGGATGTTTAGACTGTGTTTTTAATTTCGCTAACAAACTACGCAGTCTAGCACACCGTCATCTACACAAGTCACCACGGACTTCCGGAGATTCCTTGAGGTTTGAATCTACAAAGCTCCACTACCCCTAAAGACTCTTGAGAAATTTTTTTAAAATTTTTTTTTTTTTTGTAGTAGTAGTAGTAGAAAATGTAACAAGATTGATTAACATTATTGTCTAGAAACACATATAACAGCATATTTTATTTAATCTGACAACTAAAACTGTAATGTGGTTCGGTAGTGTACTATAAAAATTAGAAGCGCTTACGTATCGGGGCTAGCTAGACTTACTAAGCTTAGTATCGGCCGAACTGGCATTGTAGAGTAATTACTTAGGATATGCGCATGTGGCTATGCGTGCTATGTTTTCGCTCTCTGCTGAAAGCACGTGGAGCTGATTGATATTTTATTTCCCCCCCCCTTTTTGTTGTTCTAGGTACCTTAATTGTTACATCAAGGGAGATATGTGGTTTCATATGAAGTATTATGAGGCTTTAGCTTTTAATTCCTTTATATAATTAGCCACCGGTTTGTGCAGTCTAAGTAAATAGTGCCGTCAAATGATATGTCCAAGAACCCCATGTTAGTGTGTGTGTGGTTTTTCCTGATCTATCAGGAGTTAGGGCAGGTAGGTGGGCCACGTTATGAGTGGCTGGTGTGGGCCATGCCATGGGTGGGTGTGTTAGGAGGAGGCAAGTTTTGTGCCTTATTGCGTATCCCTCTTGGCGGGCTAGGCGTATCGTGACTTGGATACTATGGTGGTACGGTTACCCCCTGTCAGGAGGGGTGCGGTGGTCCTATGATGGGTAATGACACCCTTTGTGACATTGTGGTATGGGAGGTCTCCAGATAAGGCGCTGGGGGTGGTCAGGTTGGCCTATGTGATCCGGGTTGAGTGAGGGGGGTCTGTGCGGGCCACGAGAGTAGCTCCTATTGGTGTTGGCGCGGTGGCTGGGGAGCTTATTGGGGGGGACGTATGCGGCCCGTTTTCCCCCCCCCCCCCGGTTATGTTCACAGTTCTCCAGGAGCTTGTGTGGGGCCCTAGTGGATGTAAAACAAACAATGCAGGTATAGCAGAGCTAAGAGAAGAAAGGTATGGGACATGGTAAACTTAATTAGAGAACAAGATTAAAGATGTTAGTCCTCTATGAGCAAAGTCTTAACTGACATCATGTGGTGTGGCTGACTGGGAGAGATCTGGTTGTGGCTTCTGCGTGAATGTCCTCTGGGGGGCCTCCTGGGTACGAAGTGGGCTGTGTTCGCCGGGTCCCAGCCATGCGATGTGGTTGCCGTTGGTTAATGAGTTCGGTGGGAGGCCCAGGCTCTCCAGGATCGCTGCTGCTCCTTCCAAATCGTGAACTGGGTAGATGGTTCCGCCATGGGAGATTGCCAGCGTGTGTGTTGTCTTCCATCTGTAGGTGATGTTGTGCGTCCGGAGCAGCGTCGTGAAGGGCTGCAGGGACTTTCGCCATGCCAGTGTGCTCCCTGTGAGGTCGGCAAAGAAGGTAAGCGAAGAGTTCTCAAAGTTGTATGGGGATTGTCCCCAGAGGGCGCCCATCACGCACAATCAGGACCCTGGGAGCAGTGGCCGGGGCTTTGGCGGGTCTGGGGATCCGGAACGTGCTTTCTATCATTATCGCTTTCGCCTGTCTGGGAGGCAAGATCGTGCCCAGGAGGCGTCTAATAAAGTTCGGCAATTCGGCGTCTGGGATTGCCTCCACCAGCCCTCTGACCTTGAGATTTTTGAGTCGTCTGGAGTCTTCCATTATTGTGAGTTTCTGTTCTAGGCTGGTCTGTTGATTTCGGAGGGTCTGCATCTCTTGTTGCAGGTGCATAACCTCTCGTTTGGTGTTGTGGGAGTCAGTCTCCAGGGCCCCCATACGGCCTGTCAGACCTTTGAGGTCTTTGCGTAGTGCTGTAACTTCCGCGTGGATGTCCCACCGGAGGTCTGCTAGAAGGTCTTGCATATCAGCCTTGGTCACAGGCTGCAAGTCCCTCTTTGGCGAGGTTGGTGCTGGCACCTGTCTTGGCCCCTGTGATGCTGGTATGAGGAAATCCGCCATCTCCGGAGTTTGTTTGTCCGAGAAGTCTGAGCTTTCTTCGAGGTAGGACGCCATCTTAGATTGCGAGATCTCATGTGCTTGCCGCCACAGGTCCCCAATGTTCATGCCCATTCTAGGCTTGTCTGCCTTTTGTTTTTCGTCCCATTACGGTGTATGCTGGTTTAGTGTCCACTTGGCACCGATTTTGTTTGGGGTAACTTGTTTATAGCGCGAAAATTAGGCCTAGTATTGCAGAGCTCGGCTTAGGTGTGACCACTCCGTTCTATTGCTTGGCTCCGCCTCCAGAAATACCTTAATACCTTCCTTTTTTTTTTTTTTTTTTTGAGTAATGTTTCTCTCTGTCCCACTGATGGTGCAGTGGGGAAGTGAAGCAAGTCGTTCTTCAATGTACCCCTTTGAACAGATGGAATCCAGTCAAATTGACCACATGCATTAATTTTTTTTTTTTTTTTATCAAAAGCCATCTCCCGGTCAGCCAATGCTCTGGGTGACCATTAAAGTCTCAGTGCTGCACTATTTTAATTATTCCTCTTCTTATGAAGAACAGAACCCCAAGATGAATCAAAATCTTGGAAGATCCCAGGGCCATCCCAAAAAATGGAACTACTACCCTTTTACTCGCTAGATACCTGGAATATTCCTATTTATTATTATAGGCTATGTAATAGGTAGTACATTAGTTTTAATTAAAACTCCATGATCATAAGATGTGGTCTGTGGCAGGGTTTGTGTGGTTTAACGTTAAACATTTACCGTAACTGGTCCGAATCTGTGCGACTTTCCATATGTCTCATAATTGGGTTTGTTTTTTGTTTGAATTTTTTTTTTTTTTGTATAAATGTATTTTTTATTTTTTATTTTTTTTCTAAGCAATCAAGTTCCAAAACTTGTCTTCAACCGGGTAAATGGCAAGCGAATCCAGGCACAGCTCCCATCACCGGAGGAGGAGGAGGTCTATACACCAGAGCACGAAGAGAATGTCCGCTTTGTTTATGAGGGTAAGCATGTCTTAATCTGGATTTATGTCTACTTTGTCCTATAGAGAGGGAAGACTGGTGAAAAGCTACAATACAGTATGTGGGTTTACCAGCCACAACGAGTTATGTGACCTTTTTGGTCGACCTTGTTCTGCGTTATTGGAGAAATGTTAAAATTTGGCTATGATTACATTTTACAGAGAATATGACCATTTCCTATATTTGCAATGTAGCTTGCTGAATTTTTGCACAGGTTTATTTTATGACCAGAGAATGTGCTTGTCATTCCCCCCTTTTGTTTTTTTGTTTTTTTTAAAAGGGTGGGATATGAGGCATGACCAGGCACAGTCACTTCATAACCTACTGACATCCCTTTTTTGTGTTGGTCTGATACAAACAATAGGTGTAAATGTAATACTATAATAAATGCACTTTCTTTAGTTGCTGTGAGTTTTTACTCTTGCACACCAAAAAATAAAATAAGCTCGTTCCTGAATAGGATTGATATTCCGATATAGTACTGTATTTGCCTGTACCTGGCTCCGTCCGATTATCAGAACCCCACAGTAATGTCCTAATTCTTACTCTCTTGCAGCGTGGCAGGAAGTACAACAGAAACTGGACAAACAGAACGGGGGCTCCACACAACAATATCAAGATCAGAACCCTGATTCCTCCATTAAGAGTAAGCCATACCTCACCCCCTTCCATGTTTATTGCACAAGTAGGTGAAGTCCTGCAATGTGCCGAATTCACACAATGCTGTACGGAGGCCTGACTCCATCTTCTTGTAGTGCTTATCCAGAATTACTGCTGTACGTGTCATGGCTTGGGGTTTCTGGGAATGTGTAGTTTTTTTGCTTCAGAAAACAATTTGCCTATAACGTAAACCCTTACTGTTCCCCTAAATCTCACATTCTGGGACAATCTAAACATTGTGATAGAAAATTCTAGCACATATCTGTCAATTCTAGGTTTGACAAGAACGGATTTAAGTTCCTGCAGAACTCTGGGCTGGAATTGCAAATGAAAGCGAGACTATTGTGTAGAGTGGTTTTATATTAAAAAAACAAAACAAAAAAAACCCTCTAAATCTAAGAGGATGATGTATTGGAACATTACAGTAAAGTCTTCAGCACACTAACCTTCTATCAGAGTTCTGCGAATTGCAAAGCGGATTAGTGTCTAGAATTATTTAGCTTCTTCCGATCTCCACATCACTATGCAGCTATTATGCAAACGAGCTGAATGAATTTGCATGCTTGACTGCATAGTGACAAAGAATGGTTTAAACGTTCCCATTCATTCCTCCTTCGATACGGACACACTGTGAACCGTCTATCCTAAACCCATATTTGTGCGGTGTTATTGGCTTGTTCTGATTGTCGCAGCAACTCCTGTAACTACTGTTTTTGTTTCTTTTTTATTTTCAGACTTTGTCCCAATTGATCTTGAAGAATGGTGGGCTGAGAGATTCCTTGCTAACATTGAAAACTGTGCTTGAAGATGTATGACGTAGTGTTTTTAACATTTGTTTAATCTGGATGCACAAAATGACTACTCCCACAGGGTTCCATTCCCCCACTCTTCAATTGGTCAGAGAGTATCCACTCTTTCCACCCGTCAGAACCCAAGAGAAAACACTAAAATGACATTTAAGCACCTTTGGGTGCTGAAGAACCCCTCCCTCCAACTCTGTTCAACCCTTAATCTAAATGAGGAGTCTGAGACAGCAGCTACTTGCTCCTTGTGTGGTGTGTTTTGTCTTTTATTGCACAAAAGAAATGGTACTGGTTACTGTTTTAACAAAATTGAAAAAGGGGGTAATGCAGATACAGAGAGCTCATCTGCATTCTATGCAGCCGCAGAGCCAGTTCCTCGTGGGCGTTACCCTGTGTTATAAATGACAAGCTGTGATTTGTTTTCCTTTATCTGTTGGTCTGTTCATCACACTAGTAACACAGCATTGGACAACAGACATTATTGCATCGGGTTTTTTTTTCTTTCCCCTGGCTGCATTGGTCTCAATGTGTTGAATGCAACCCTTTAGACCGGTCTCCACTTTTTACTTTTTTTTATGTGAGGGGTCTGTACAGAGTGGGAAATGTCTATTTTTCTAAATAAAGTCAGGTTTTTGCCTCAAGCTGTATATTTTTGTCGCTAATAGCAATATAATCTGGATCTGTACCTTGCTCTGTACAAGACTATTTGCCTGGCTGTGCATCATGGGAATTGTAGTTTTGCAGAATCTGTGGAATGGTCTGTTTTCCTACCAACTCCATACTTCCCATAAACCCTCCTGTTTTCAAAGGTGCCCTCTAAGCACCCTACCCAGTGCAGCTCATTGACTTCTTTCGTTGCCCCGCCTAGGTGGCATTGATGGGGTGAGAGCCTTAACGGAGCTCCTAGGTACTAGGATGATGGAATCACACCTGATAATTCAGAAGCGGTGCTTTTCCCCTGACAAAATAGTGAGACAGGATTCATAGCAGCATAACCACTACACTGGATTCACACGATCTCACCTGCTCAGCCAATTTATTACCTATAAAATACAGGTGCTAGCACCCTTAACTTTATTTTCTAGTATGTTTCTCACCCTGTTAGATGTTTATTATAAGTAATAAATGAGATGTTAATGGAAAGTAAAACACAAGGAGACAATGTGTGTCAAAAAAAGCAGCATAAATACAATTTATTCAGTATACAATCAAATGCCTGTTTGGATCAATCTGTTAATGCGGTCCAAAGAAGAGAGGAATCTTTGCAGTGGATCACAAGCACTCGTGACTTATCATTCTCACGCAGGGAACACCTTTTATCATTTTAAAGGAACACTTTTTAAAAAAAAAAATTATTATTATTAGATGCCTTCCTTCTTTAAATTATACAAACATTAAACTTCCCTGCAAGCCATACCTGGGACCGTTTCCTTACTGCAAGGTGCTCTGCCTTCAGTAATATCATCAAGCTTGATTAACTCTGGCCAATCAGATGCTTTTTATAAAGTAACATTGATGACACAAGGTGCATGACGGTTAGCTAGCGACCAGTGTTCGAATGCTTTGTTTGTCTAATAGTCACTTATTGGCGTGGAAACTGCAAATTGTAAACTGCACCATTTCTCAGAAACAGAATTGTTTTCATGTGCAAGGTTGCAGGGGTGCATTTATGTCCCATAACTACACTGTCCCTTTGAGGGAGGCAGCCCACGCATGGGTCATGCAGCAGATATCAGTAACATGATCATATTATAAAAAGGGAACCCAACACCTAACCAGAGCTAAATTGGCTGGATGTTTACATGGCGTTGTTGGCTCAACGAGGCTAATCCTTAGCCGTGCCTTCTTTGTGACATCATGTCAGCCTTTAAGCAAATGAATGGCTACTAGGCCAAACTATTAATTTGCATAAAAGGCTGCATATAATGGGGATGGAAACGAAAAACTTTAAATCCTTCTTATTGTGCAATGGCCAGTACGGTTATCACTGTAGATACATTGGACTACATTTCCCTTGATGCCATCTGTAAATACTATTCTTAGTATAGTCAACAACTGCTACTGCATCTGTAGGTTAGCAATCATGTCACTGATAATTGTAGTGTTTTTCAAGGTACAATCACCCCTTCCCCGTCCTGGAAATCAGCTATAACTTGTGTTTAAATTATTTCCTTTTTACATGTAAAGCCAGAGCAGCCTTTTCTCCTCTGCCTATGAACAAATCATACCAGACTAGAGTTAAATACAGTAGTGAGGATTTCTACATTTAATTTTCTTTTACAGTTCACGAATACATATATTTGTTAAATACGCAGATGTCAACATAATAGAAATGCTAGAAATTGATGGCTGCTCGTCTTTAAATCACCAATCTCTGCTGTGAAGGTGCCAAGTTCTCCCATATCTGGCAAGGGAACGTGTGCATTCATAAATGACCGCTATATTTCAGGCTTTTCGGACTGAGGGGGAAAATCGCTATAGGTGCTGGAGACCCCACCTACAGCTTTTGCCACATCTTGTGCATTAACTGAGGCTATAAGGCACTCTAGGAGTTAGATGATTGCTGCATGCACATCAGATCATCGGTGGCAGTAAAGAGCATGGATCGCCTTTTATTTATATTATTTTTTATCCTTTGCCGCTTTTAATGACTTCAGAGCTTGAACTCATTTTCGGGGAGAGAAGTCATAAAAAAGTTGAAGTTTTAAAATAATGTAGGACTGGTAGTTAATACAATGCAGGTCAACCCATCCCTGGCCTATATCTGAACCAATTTCATGGTTTTAGGACCCTTTTATTTAGAGAAACTCCTCTGGTCTATTGAGAGAGTTGGACGGAATTAAAAAAAAAATTTTTTTTATAGAAGAGCAGGATAAGGGGGAGGCTCAAATTCCCTTGTATATGATTTAAACTGGCCTTCCACACAAAAGAAGCACATTTTCACACCATCCCAAAAGCAGTAAATAAAATACATCTAACATGAAAACACTCCATGATCATGGTCCCTACTAGACTTGTGCAAAAAATATTTGGGGACAATTTGTCTGAATCAAATTAATTTTATTCTACACCAGAATTGATCACTTGTTCAATAACTAAGACTCCACGGGTAAATCCTGCACAAGTGATTTTGGACAAACCCTTCAAAAATAGTTTTTTTTTCACGAGTCTAGTTCCTACCAGTGAATACTATATTATGACTTCAAGAAACCAAGTTTTAGTGGATTCTAAATGTTATCAGCACTCGTTACAATTCCACAGTAGCATGAATGCCAAAACGGGCGACTCCTTTCCATATTGACATGAGATGTTCAAGAGCTATCACCAGTAAAACTGACAGGGCAGAGTGACTCCTATTTTATAGGTGCACCTTACTTCCCTGGAAATCCTTACAGGAGAATTGGAGTAATTCAATGATACGTTATGGTCTTCTTTTGCAGAAAAATTAACCTTCAACACATCCTTATGTCAACAAAGGTTGGCTTAACTACTGGCCCTTCTCTGAACCCTTACACTAAGCACTGAATTGTTCTGCACTATCAAACGAAATGGAAACATTAAGGCCAAGAAAATTTGCCATCTTACTTAAAAAGTTCTACATGTTTTCATTTAGGTTTTTGAGCTAATGAACCCCTTGGTCACTAGAAGTACCAAATGCATGGAGTCAATATCATTGCACCAAATGGCCCTTTAACTGTACTGTGCAGCGGAGTCCCCGACTGATGGGAATTGCTCCTGCCTACTGTTACATAATGAAATGGTCGGACGGCAATCAGTACACACACACACACACACACACACACACACTAAATGTCTTTCTGTAGCAGTCACGGGACAAACCCTGAATTCGTGACTTTCCAGCTGCTGACGGACACCAATGACTGTGATCTCTGGCAAGCTGGACAGTTACATATTATCCAACTCTGCCCGGGCAAACAACCAGAAGAAGAGACAGCCCTAAGTAGATATGGACGGACGGGCTTGGACGAAGGAATGACTGTGGACGGGAAAATACAGCAGGAGTATTCTTGGGAGAGACACAACATTTCTGGTGTCAGTATTAAGTTTAGACCTGGAAATCTCGATGTCCACAATGGGTTTTCCCCACCCATTAGAACCCACAGTTCCTGAAAGAGCACCTTACACATCCTGTGCAGTGGATCTTCTATACAGTGCCCTCTTCTGGTGGCTGCTGGAAGTGGCTGAAACTCAGGAAAACTTGCTCCAAGGAAATTTGGCTCACGCAGTAATCTGCCAGGTCAAACTTCTCCTTGGCTTTCTCTAGAGTTCCGAACACCTGGTAAGAGAGCAGGATTTATACAATAAACAGAGTATGACAACATGAGCCAATAACTGCCTGACAAAAGCACAGAACATTTCAACATAAGCTAGGGAGAGGCTGGATGACAGTGCAGAGCATTTCAGTATGAGCTAGGACCAAGCAGGGTGACTGGCAGAGAGAGAATGCAGAAAACTAAGACTAGCTGGGGACTGGCAGTGATGGATTGCAGAGCACTGTAACATGGGTTGTGAACTGCCAGAACCAGAATGCAGAGCATTGTAACATGAGCTTGGGATTGTCAGAGCTATAATGCAGAGCACTGTAAAATGAGCTTTGGGTTGGCAGAGCCAGAATGCAGAGCACTGTGAAAAGAGCTTGGGTTTGGCAGAGCCAGAATGCAGAGCATTGTAAGATGAGCTTAGGACCAGCAGAGTCAGAATGCAGAGCATTGTAAGATGAGCTTGGGACCAGCAGAGCTGTTGTGGTTCCTAATAAAGTACCTGTCTTGAACCAAGGAATGCCTGGACCTCTATTACTTTACAAGCTCAGAATTGGCCAGATTAAAAAGTGGAGCATCTCATTTTAAACATTGACCTGCACGATCACAATGCAATTTATCTATCTATCTATCATAAACTACGGATTGTCACAAATGTTCTTTAACACACTGCATTTGAATTATGAAAGTAATCATACACTTCACTTGTTTTGGAGAATTAAATATTTGCTGCCACTTTAAGAATTTTCAATAATGTGGGACAGTTTATTTGTTCAATTCATGAATGCCATAGTCTCATTGGGGCTGTTCATTTGACACCCCTATCCATTAATGTGACTTGTGTGTGAATGCCATGTTATTTTTTTCCAAATATGAACAAATAAGTGGCACGGGGAGTGTATGAATGTTTAAAGAGACACACCAAATACCAAAAATATATTTTTAATGAGGTGGTTTTGGTGCATCAACGCCATCCCTGTTTTCTGACAATGTGAAACTTTGCTGGATTACAGGTGAGTTTAACAACTTTTTTATTACAATAGTGGGGCTGGTGTCGTAGGTACATTGCTCCACTTACCTGTGCCCAGCTGAGATCCTGGTTGGTTAGATGGTAATGTACCATACCTTGGTGCTCATGTTTCAGCATGCTGCCTGCAGTTACAGAAAACACAACACTGAGTAAATATTTACACAACTACACAAAGCTTTTTATAAATCTGATAAACCAGACAACAATATGTAAAGACAAATAATCGTGTTGCTTTTTTTTTTATTAGAACAAACATACTTTTTGTTACATAGCCTAAAAGGTTTACTAAACAGACTAAAAGGAGGACATAACTTTATGCTACAAGTCATTTTCTCCCTTAATCTCACCCTGCTTTAAGAGGAGAAAGGGAACCTAGTATATTAACTCAGCTGATTCGCAAACATTCACATCTACTTCTCAAAATTTTACATAGCCTCCTATTTTAGAGATAGACAAAAAAGGTAAGACTAAAGTTTTGCAGAACTGCAAGTCCCATGAGGCTTTGCCATCCCTCTCCTACATAAATAAGGAAGCAAGCCTAATCACAGGCGTTACAGACACATGACGGATCAAACAATGCTGACAGCTGCATGAATCAACACATGACACACAATATATTGCTTCTCAGCACAAGATACTGCATTCTGCATCCCAAGCCACCACTATGTGTCTATATTGTGTGTACATGTATTTTAGCAGCAAGGGGGGCGAAGGGAGATAAACACTTGCTGTTTCACTGATGTTGTCATGGAGCTTGGAGTAATTCTTGAAGGTGTTAAAACTGCATTATTATATATTGTTTTTGTTAACAGATCATTCACTGTGTCACAAAGAGCAACAGGGCCATACATCTGATTTTAAAAAAACCAATCCAATATATTGTCCAGTGATTCCCGCCACCAACTCTATACAGAAGAACAGTACTATTGTTTGTTGAATATTTCTTTGTAGGTTTGAGCTGTAAACCCACATCACGTTTTTTTTTCTATAAATGCGGTTACTCACCTGGAAAAACGGTCTCTATAAACTCTTTAAAGGCTATGAGATCCTCTCCACCCTTCGAGGTCTTTGCTAATAAAGTGTATCCACTGCCAAACTTCCCTTTAAGGTGCTGGGGGCTACCAAGGCACTTGAGTTGCCCATTCACCATGATGGCAAGACGCGTACAAAGAGCTTCACACTCCTCCATGCTGGGGACAAGAAGAAGGGAAGAGCAGTCTTTAAAGAACACCAATTATCAAGCAACATGCCTGCCAGGTCATGCCACTGCAACCTAATAAATTCAAATATTACCAGGCATTCAACGGTAAGAGGAGGGTACCCTGCATCTACTTTCCATTTTCTTGTCTCCTAATTTTAACAATGAGGTGTCAAGTAAATGGATGGAGATGAAGGAAGACTTCCTGCAACCCACTGCAATCCCCTTGTATCCCTCCTTTCTTTCATGCCTTCCCTCTTATTCTGATCCTATTCTACTTCTCTTTTCCTTTATTCCGAGACCTTTTTAAAAAAAATGTAATGTGTCTACTTGAGTCTCCAATCTACTCCTGCCAAAATTATCTCGATCTCCCTTTGCCAATAAAAGATGATGGGCATTGCTTCCACCATGCTTTCGCTACCTGTGCGAGGTGATGATTACAGCTTTTCCACTCTCCCGTGTCCTTGTTACTGCATCCCACAGCAATCTACGGGCCACAGGGTCCATTCCGGTGGATGGTTCATCCATGAAGATCACTGCTGGACCCCCAATCAATGCAATCCCAGCACTGAGCTTTCTCTTGTTCCCACCACTGAAAGAAAAAAATACAACAAGGTGTTCAATGAGCATGAGTAAAGAAAAACCAGGAAGGAAATGTCAGAAGAAGAATGGACATGAGAGAGTGAAAAATACAAGAGTCAAAGACAGATAGAAAAAAGGGACAACATGCAAAGAAAGAAGGCAAGAGGTGTGTGGGCAACAACAGACATGGAGGCGGAAATGGGAAGGAGATTGGAAAACTTGGTGAGTGAGGTTCCTAAAAGGACGGGTGAAGGGTCTGGAGTATGATGAAATAATGAAGACAGCACGGGTTAAAGAGTGGGGTTTGCAACATGGAGATAAGTAGATCATATAATGCAGATGGAAGTTGAAGATGTGTGTTCATAAAATCTATTTATAGATGTTTGGTGGACTCTGACAACCTAACCATCATGAAGACCAGCGTAGACTTTCATACGACCAAATGGGAAAAAGACACCATTACTGTGTGACACTGCTCCATTAATCAGTTCTAATAAGGAATTACTCTCCAACAGATTGCTGGTGTGTTAAGGTTATGGTACCTTTAGTTACAATGGAGATAAATGATATAAAGTGCTCCCTTCCATCAAAACTGAAATGGTCCATCCATACCTGTAGGTCCGCACAAGTTTATTGGCATGGGCTTCCAGGAGTAGTCCACGCAGCATGTTATCCACACAGCTGGCGATATATCCTTCAGGGACGCCACGTAAACGTGCATACAGGCAAAGCGTTTCACGTCCAGTCATGTGGTCAAGCAAGGGGTCAAACTGAGGGCAATAACCAATACGCTGCTGCACCTAATGGGTAAGAATGAGTATATAAGGTATAGCTAAATGAAGGAGATGGGCATTTAGTAAAATCTTACTTGTATTCAAGTCTGCAGTTGCTGGCTCTGCCCCTGATAAGACTACTAGGCTGACATCATCTGAAGTGATTCTGTGAGCCAATCACAATGCTTCCCCATGTGATTGGCTGAGACTGTGAAGGTGGCAGATCAGGAGCAGAGCCAGCCAGTGGCGTACTAAGGGGGGAGCGGTCCGCCCCGGGTGCCACCAGGGTGGGGGGTGCCATGACCAGCCCCCCCATGCTGCAGCCGCCCGAGCGCTCTGTAGAGCGCCTCAGGCGGCTGCAGCTTTGCCCGGGCGGTGCGTCCATGAGGGCGGACCGCACCGCACCGCCCGGGCGCAGCCTGAGGAGAGGGGCTGACAGGAGGG